CTCCCTCCCATTCCGACGGCCTGCCTCCCTTGGTCTCCTGAGTGACCGGCCTGCACTTGGGCTGGGCCTCCAGCCTCTGGCCAGCTCTCCAGCTCCTCCGGGCGCCTGCCCAGGCCAGGCCAGGCTGACTCGTGCGTAGGAGCGTGAGCACAGGAAGCAGCTCCACTCTGCGGCTGCTATTTATAGCTCCCAGGCCAGGCTCTTGGCCTTGTGAGCCGGGGGAGGACAGGCCCGAGTCCCCTCTGAGCTCTCCCCAGGGCACGGGGGCCCACGCCCCCATTGGAGCACCCCAAACTAGGAGAGCAGTGACCCTTGCCTATGGCTGGCTGGAAGAGCCCTGGCCTTTGTGAGCATGGCTGTGTGCTGGGAAGCAGCTGGCTGGGGCTGGAACTCGGGTCCACTGGGCTCTGAAGCCACAACCCAGCCTTCTTGCTACCCCTGGCTGGCTGTCCCTGTCCTGCATAAAGTCGTCTCCACTGCAAAGGACAACTGTCCACCGGCAAAGTCCCACCTCCTCACCTGGCCTGGCAGCCCATGGGACCTCTCCCTGCCCCAAAGCTCTGGGACGGGGGGAGGGGGGCACACTGGCCTTGCTTATCCCTACCTGCCCCCCCCACTCCTGGCAGTGCTGTTGGGGGTGGGGGGAAGGTGGCTGGGTTGCATTCTCTGCTCTCTCTCTGTGCTCCCAGGATTAATGCAATTATGTGGGCAAAGCAGAGACCAAGTGTCATGGTCTCTAGCAGATGCAGTTTGGTCCCCAAGGTTTTTTGTTTAAGTTTGGCGTCAACATTCGAAAATAAGAAAATCATTTGTCCAAACCCAGTTTGCCTTGGAAAATGAATAGGCTGGCATTCCCAAGCCAGAATTCTGCCAGTCAGCCTCTGCAGAGCTGGACCTAAGCCCTGAGTGAAAGACGCAGGCTCTTCGCCGAAGCCACCTGCTGGGCCAAATGGAGGCAGCCCGGGACTCCTCCCAAAATACAGGGTGCTGCTGCTGTTACCGTTACCTCTTGAGGAGAGGGGGTCCCCCGAGTCTTCGCCACGGGCAGGATAAAGCCCCATGATGCTTGGGTGTTTTACAGACTGCCACAGCGGCTGTGGGCAGTCAGGAAAAAAAAGGACCATGACTCACAGAAAGACTCACGGCCTTTGCACAGGCTGTCTGTCCCCCATCCCTCCCCTGGAAAAGCTCTTTCCCCATCTTCTTGGGACTCCAGTGTGGCCCCCAGGGATTTCCTCCCTGACCACGTTGCTAAAATCATTTGCATTTTTCTTATCTCTCTCCCTTCACTTTGCTTTTTCTGTCTTCACAGCATTTATTGCTGATAACTGCATTTCACGCTGATATGTCATCTGTCTCCCCTCACTAGGCGAGCTGCCATGCATCCTAGGGCAGTGGGCCTCACCCTCGGGGGACTCTGGGATATTTGTCGGCAGACACTTGTGGTGGCCACGGCTGGGGTGCTCCTGGCATCATGTGGGCGGGGGCCAGGAATGCGGCTCAGCATCCCCCCCCACCCACACACACAGTGCCCGAGAGTCTGGTATCAGCAGTGCTGGGAGAGACAGACCCGGAGTCGGGCAATGGATCTCAAACGTGTCCCCAGGCCAGTAGCATCAGCAGCACTTGGGGGCTGGGTGGCAATGCAGATCCTGCAGCCCCGCCACCAGCCAGAACGTGGGCAACAGCCTGCACCCAGCGGGCGACAAGACAGCCCCAAATGTCTACGGTGCCAGGACAGAGACCCTGTCTGAGCTTGTCAGCCAGAGTGGCTGGGCCTGAACATGCTCAGAGGGAGGCCCGGGTGGTCCCTGGATGGAGAGACCTGCCAACCGTGGTGGCTCTTTATTTTGGTCTAAGTGCAGTACCTCGGCCAGGCCTCCCATGCACCTGGGAAGCCGGGGCTCGGAACCGCCCACCTGTCCAGCCGCTCCTGCCTGGCCGGGCTGGGCACACACCAATCGCCCCAGCCCTCTGTCGAGCACTGCAGCCAGCCAGACCAGCTGTTCCTGCCGTGGGAGCCACAGGTCTTCGGGGTGGCAGGGGCACGCAGCGGGTTCTCCCTGCTTCAGCCCAATCCGGCTTTAGCACCCCAGCGGCCCAGAGGAGAGCTCTACGCCTTCAGGGAACAATGCCCCCGCCCGCAGGAGGCTCTGCGGGGAAGAAGGTGGGATGGGCCCATCACTGGCTTTGCCCCAAAGGGTGGGCACAGGCTGGGGCAGGTGGGATGCGTGCCTCTTTCCCTGGCAGGTCCAGAGCTGGTGGCCAGGGCAGGTCTGATGCCACCGTGGGCTGGGAGACACCATCCTCTCCCCTGTCTGCCTCTGGGGGCTGGAAAGACGCAGACAGGCGGGGAAGCGGCGCACCGCCTCCCTGCCCGACGCTAATAACTTCTGCACCAGAGACACAAACAGCAGACAACAGAAGCCCCGACACACTGTTATTAAGGTTGATTCAATCCACGAGGCCTCTTAATTTCCCCCTTTGTCTCCAGATCAAGGAGGGGAATGTGGTTGACTCCATCCAGCTGTCGCCTGTGCCCTGAGCCCCCACTCAGAGCAGACCTTGGAGGGCTGAGGCCTGGCCCAGGGACCTCCCGGTGGAGGAAAAGGGCTGACGACGGGAGACCCGTCTGAGGTAATTCTCCTCCTGGCAGAGCTCAGAATGGTGCCCCCAGCCCAGGGCACCCCCACCTCCTCCTGCCCACCCAGGACCCCTCCTGCTGGGGGCTGGGACAAGCCTAGGCCGAGCAGGTGGCTGGGGGTGGCCTTGACCCAGCCACGGCCATACGGACAGAGTTGGTGTTTGGTGTTCTGTACGGAGGGCTTGGTTTTGTCAAACAGACAGCAGTGTGTGCTCTCTGGGCACCCTCACATCCAAGCTGCAGCAGCCGTGCCTCCGGCCCTTGCCAAGTGTGCCGGGCTGTCCGTCAGCAGGCATCTGCCCGCCTCCTCTCTTTCCAACATGCATATGGGATCTCAGAACGAACTGCCCTCTGCGTGGAACCCACTGTCACTTCCTAGGAATTAGAGCGGTGACACCCCAGTGTGACCACCACAGACGTCCTCGGACACCGCCTGGTGTGCCCTGGGGGACACCCCTGAGAACCACGGAGTGAGAAGACCCCCCAAAAGGCAGGGATCTCTGTGGCAGCAGGCCGCACGACATCTCCTTAGGATCACAAAGTTGCACACAGATGGCCTTTCATGGCTGATGTCCAGTTTTTTGCAGGGGCTGGTCCAGGGCCAACTGGTGATCGATCCAGTCGTATCCATAGGAAAGCTGCTGTCACCACATGGCAGTGCTCCGGTGTCTGAGCTGGTGGGGGATGGAGCCCCGGGCAGGCCTCAGAAGACCCTGGTCTAGACCAGACTTGGCCACCAGAGCCCAGGAAACCTCAGGAGTGATTGCCGTTTCCCCGGGCTTCCGTCGGAGGGCAAAACAGCCACTCTTCCTACCTCGGTGCGGAGATGGTCTGATCCTCACCCAATGCGGGGAAAGCTGACCAAGACCAAGACCAAGGCACCGTCACCCCCACGGCTGGCCAACCACGGCAGCTTGTGGAAGCAGGTCCCAGGGCTGACCCTTGCTCCACTGGGCACAGAAGACAAAAGGGGTGGCCGGAGGTGTCCTCATCTACAACACAGCTCCCTCAAACCTCTTGGGGTCCCAGCATCCTCAGGGGGCCTGGAAGCAGCTTGCTGGGGCTGATGGGACCCTAGGGAGAGCAGGTCAGCTGGGAATGGCCACAGCCCAGCAGATGGAGAGAATCTGAGGACGCTGGGGACTCGGGAAGTGGTGACGTCTGGCTGAGGGGCTGGCAGAGGGGCCCTTGGGCCTTTCCATGACCAAAGGCTCCTTGCTGGTGTGGTGGTGCCCTTCCTGGGCCTACTGGTCAGGAAGTGTGCTCACAGTGAGGGGGACATGGCCTTGGAGACATCAGTGGGGGCAGGGGGGTAGTCAGCTGATGGCTGGTAGGAGGGTAGGGACCCTGTGGTGTGTGTGCTTTTGGCAGCGACAGGGCGTATGGAGCTAGGGTCCTTGGAGCAGAGACGACCCCAGCCCCGATGAAGGCAGGCTACAGAACCTGGTGGCTCCGCAATGACCCGCCCACTCAGGGAAAAGGCCAAGTGGGTGGAAACTTCCAGTTCCTGAGTGGAGTGAAGCGGGGGGCAGGCCGAGGCTGACAACCCAGGACACAATGGAAAGGATGATGTCCCCACACCCTGGGGGTCACTTTCCCAGCACAGGGCAGAGGCAGGCCACGTGCGGTTTGGAGATGGGTCTCCAGGACAAGTCAGACAGAAGCTTCTAGCAACAGGCCTGACCGTTCTGCAGCAACAGGGTAGGGGCAGGCAGAGCAGAAGCTGAGGCTCTCGGACACACATCCCTGATCCCCCCGCCTCTTGTAACAAAACTGAAGGCGGCCGGGGTGGTGGCAAAGGTTGTCACCTTGTGCTAGGAGGGGCTGAGTGGTGGCAGCAGGCCAGCCCCCGGGGCGCCCACGAGGCTGGAGTTGGGGACGAGGCCCCACCAAGCCCAGGGCCCCGGGGCAGAAGGGGCCTGTGCTCGGGAGGCCCTGCCGGCCAGGAGTGAGGCAGAGGAAGGGGATCAGGGTGCTGGGAAGGCACGCACCTGGGCCCTCGCGCTGAGGCTGTGAGAGCCGAGCCCAGCCCAGCACACCGGCCCGCACTCCCTCCGGAGCACCTCTGATGGCAAAATCCCCCAGGCAAGGCTTTCGGCCCAGGCTCCTATCCCCGGAGGCCCGCGTCGGGGTTGCTGGGACAACAGGCGAGTTGAACAGAAGGTTGCCAGGGAGCCGGTGCCCAGGGTTGGTGCCAGCCCCACACGCGCCCTGAGCTCCCGCACCCTGAGGCAGCTTCTGGCTTCATCTGCGTCTGCAGGGGGTGATTCACAGTGTGTGCCCCCGGCCCCACAGCCCCGGGGACTGAGAACCAACGGCCCAGCCGGCCCCTAGCCCTGCCTGCGCATCTCTGCATCTCTCGGGTCCACCAAGTGTATGGCAGCGGGGGGCGGGGGGGGCACAGCAGAAGGCAGAGAAGAGGGAAGTGCTGAGGTACCTGGCACCCCGCCCGTCCCCCTCGAGGCACTGCCTCAGGTGGCAGGAGTCAGAGCTTCCCTGTGTGACCGCCGGATGGACGCTCCATGCGACAGAGCCAGCTGGGAACAGAGGACACAAGTCTCAGGCCTCCAGATGGGCTCAGTGGCTCGGAGAAGCCACGGTCTTGTCCTGTCTGCAGGCAGGAGTGGGGGGGGGAGGGTCCCAGCCCAACCCCATGCGGCTGCCCGGCCCCACCTCCTGTGTGAGTCATCAGATCCCAATGCCAGAGGATGACATGGCCACACAGCTTTGGTAAATAACTTTAAGAGAAGTATTTTTAAAAGCAGTTGCTGTGCCCCAGGCTCAGGGTGTTGGATCTGGGGCGCGGCCCCTCTGTGCACAGATGGCAGCCCGGGGCCTGAGCTCCCCTGCTTGGGAGTGGGGGGGACCGCCTGTATCCGGCGGGCGGGTGATGGGCAAGTTCACCACTTGAGGAAGACCATGCCGGCCAGGACGGCATAACCCAGCACCAGAAAGAGGACTTTGAGCAGACGGTCGCTCTTCTCCTCCAGCTCCTTCGCTAGGATCTCAAAGAAGGTGACAAAGAGGAACGTGCCGCCTGCCAGGCCCTGCAGCAGCACCGAGGCCACGCTGCTGGGCACCCCCTGGGCACTCTCGATGCCCAGGCCGATGCTGATGCCCAGGGGGATCATGGAGCTGACAGTGACGGCCAGCTTGGCCGCGTCCCTCAGGGCCATGGCACTCCTGGCCATGCTGATGCCCAGGGCCACGGCCACCAGCGTCTCGTGGATGGCCACCCCCACGAACAGGCTCACTACCTTCTCTCCGTCCTCCTGCAGGCCCAGGGCCAGGCCCTCGAAGATGGAGTGCGCCGACAGGGCAAATACCAGGCTGAGGAGCCGCAGCGGGCTGGAGTGCGACAGCTCTTGGACGCTCAGCCCATGTGTGTGGGCGTGGGGCTCCGAATAGAGCGTGTGGCCCCGCGCACCCCCCATGAAGGGGCTCTCATACTCCGAGTCACTGCCGGCGTCCGAGCCAGCGTTGAAGGTCTCCAGGTCGATGAACGATGGCTTCTCCTTGCGGAAGGTCAAGATGAGCTGCTCCAGGAAGACGGTCATGAAGAAGCCCAGCATCACGATGGTCTCGGCCAGTGGGTAGTCGGTGCTGATGTGCCCGAGGCTCAGAACTTTCTGGAGCTGGAGCAGAAGACGTGCAAGAGAGGAGAAGGAGGGAGAGAGAGGTTCAGAGGGGGCGGCCTGCACTCCTGCTACCAACACAACAGGGTTTGGGGGAGATATCACTGTTCAATTAGCAAAGCACAGAAATACCCACTTCACACAAGAAGCTAAAAAAAAAAGGAAAAGGTGGGCTCACCCTTGCTGGATTCCAAAAAATAAAACTCCCAAAAACCCTATTACAAAGGGCATTGTGAGACTTTACATTATATCCACTTAACCAGCCAAATATTAATCATGCTGTAGTGGGCTGAATTGTGGTCCCTAAAGATATATCCACTTGGAACCTCAGAATGTGACCTTATTTGGAAGAAAGGTCTTTGTGGATATAATGAAGGTGTGATGGGCTGAATTGTGTCCCCCACCAAAAATTCATATATTCAAGTCTCTGAACATCCAGAATTTCAAACTAACCCTCCTTAGAGAAAGGGTCTCTAGAGAGGTGATTCAGTTAAAATGAGGCTGTTAGGGTGGGCCCTGCCCCACTAGGACCGGAGTCCTTACAGGAACCACGACGTGAAGAGATGGCAAAGGAGAGAGGCCTCAGAGGGACCCAGGCCTGCCAGCCCCTTCCTCCTGGACCCCTGGCCTCCACAAGGACAGACAGCAAACGTCTGAGCTGTTTTGCTATTTTCCCCAGCCCCGGGGAAATCCTACATAAGATAAGGATCTGGAGACGAGACAGATCATCCTTAGGGTGGGATCTTAATCCAGCAACGGTGTCCTTATGTGACACAAAAGGAGGGGACACAGAGAGACACACAGGGAGACGGGCAGGTGACCACAGAGGCAGAGACCGCGGTGATGTGCCTTATAAGGGAAGGAACAGCAAGCACCGCCAAGAACGCTCCAGAAGCAGGGAAATGGCACAGGACAGACTCTCCCTCACTGTGCCATCAACCAGCCTCTGCAGCCCTGAAGGCCTGTGGGGGGTCTGCTTCCGTAGGGCGCCGGGTGGGGCTGTTTCCAAAGGTCTTCCTGGGTGAATATGCTAAGAATGCGTGAGACTCTGCATATCCACGCCCCCCCCCCCCAGCGGATCCTGCCAGCCAGCGCCACCCAGTAGCACTTTCTGATGACGGAAATGCTTTCTATCCGTCTGATATGGAAGCCACCAGCCACACGTGGCCCATGAGGACCCTAAACACAGCCGGCTTGGCCAAGGACTGCAATGTTGACTCGTGTTTCATTTATTTCACTGAAACTCGACTAGACAGGCAAGGTGAGAGGCTGTTGCTCGGTACAGCCCAGCGCTGGATGCTGCCCAGCAAGGTGGGGGGTGGGCTCCTCAGAGCTGGGCTCAGTTTGCGGGTACTCCTGAGGCTGTGTGCACACACCAAGCTTGTCCAGCCTGGGGGCTGCAGAACGTGCCATCAGTTGTCTGGACCGCTCCTCCCCCAGCGTGACTCACAGCTGGTTGATGCTCACGCTTTGGGTCTTGGGGTGCATGTAATTCCCAAGTGCTCTACCTGAGCCAGGCGCCCCAACACTATGCTCATAGCACCCCTTCATGACAGCCTGGGAGCGCACGCGCACGCACGCCACATGGCTACCCCGCCCCTCCAGGACACACTGAAGACATTTTGGTCGTCATGACTTGCGGGGGGGTAGTGCTGACACTGGGGCAGGGTCATTCTCAGTGGGGGGCTGTCCTGGGCACCAGAGGGAGGTGTGGGGGGTGTTCAACAGCATCCCCAGCCCCACCCACCAGATGCCAGGAGCATCCCTAATCGTGAGGACCACAGGTGTCCCTGGGGGCAGGACTGGCCCAGGTGAGACCTCCTGACCCAGTCACCTGCCCTCACTCAGTGTCCCCTGGACACAGAGTCGACCCGCATGGGAACCCCTGCTGCAGAAGGCTGTGTTTTGCAGATGGGCCATTTCATTCATTTGCTAAGCATCTCCAGGCCTGCATGTGCTCCGCCCCCAGGAACCCCAGCCAGTGAGAAACACTAACCAACTCAGATCAGATCATCAGACACACAAAGGCCACAGTTTTGGGGGCTGATATCTGTGGGGTGACCAAGCCAGCAGGTGCCCGCTGAGCCTGGCAGGGGGCCGGGGGAGGGACCTAACCCGCCAAGGCTCTGGTGTGGGCAGGGGTGCAGCCCGGAGCGGTTTGGGGAGGACCAGGAGAGGGCCACAGGCACTGAAGGGCGACGGGGAGGAGCAAGGACATCACAGCAGCCCCGGCCTGAGATAGAAGTGTGATGAGGGGTGACGGCACGAGAATGTGGCAGATGGGGGGGGGCAGGGCTGGAAGAGGCTCTGGGGGTGCAGACGGCCTGAGAGAGGACTCTGAAATTTTACCCCCAGGGATGCCGTGTGAGCTCCCATGCTGTGTTACGAAGGAACACGAGCCGGGCAGCAGGGAACAACAGACGCGTGGCAGAAATCCAGGCACTTGCTGACGAAGCAAGTGGCTATACTGGGGGGGGGGGCATGTGGAAGGGACTGAGGGCAGCCCTCAGCCATGGAGAAGCAAGGCCCTCGGTCTGACAACTGGGAAGGAACTGAACTTGCCTCAATACCACACGAGCTTAGAAATCGATCTGTCCCGTCGAACCCTGAGATGAGACCACAGCCCAGGAGACCTGGAATGCTGCCTGATGAGGGCCTGGAGCAGAGGGCCCAACTAAGTGGTGTCCAGACCCCTGACCCACAGAAACCGCGACATAACAAACACATGCTGTGTTAAGCTGCTAAATCTGTCATCACTTGTTAAGCAGCAGTAGCTGCCTGATACAGGTGCTGAGGCGAGGCCCACACCGCCCGCTACAGGGCAAAGCGTATAGCTACCCCGCTGGGCGGTCTGCTCAGGGAACAACGGATTGGCTCGCCAGCTGGCAAGCCAGGTCTAGTTCAAGCCCCTTGTCTACCAGGTAAAGCCCAGAGAAAAGAAGCAACCAACCCACGGTCACACAGCAAACTCACTTCCTGTCACTCCTGTAGTGTCACAGCTACCACCAAACTCGGTGACATCGTTGAAAACACACCAGAGACCCGGGGCCACAAGGTGCCACGGGCTGCGGCCACCGCCAGGGAGCCCTTACCTTCTCCCTCACAGCCGGCAGGAGAGCGTTGAAGCACGTGGCCAGAAAGACCCCACCTCCAAAGGTGTTGCAGAGTGAGAGGATCTTTTTGGAGCGATGGGCTTTCTCAAAATCCGTCTCGATGATCTTCACGGGGAGCAGGGAGCCAAGCAGCATGAAGAAGAACACGCCCACCATACAAAGGATTTTGGCCACCAGCAGCTTCATCATGGTGGCGGCCCGGGCTGTTCTGGTCGCTGCAGGGCCAAACCATGTGCCGGGGCACACTCCTGTCCCACGGCGTGCTACCGGGCCCAACCACGTAGCCGGGGGCTCATGCCTCCGTCCAGCCACTGTGAACACCAGGGGCAACCACGTCAGCTGTTGGAGTATTGAGCAGCTTTAGTGACCAAGCCCATCACCCCCCTCCCCCCCTACTTCACTCCATTCCGGGCCTGGCCCATATCACTGCCTCCTGCAGAAAATTCGCCCCGGCCGTGCTGTCCAATACGGCGGTCACGAGCCATGGGTGTCTGTTTAATTACAATTCCATTACAGGCAAAGTTCAACTCCTCAGTCACACTAACCATATTTCAAATGCTCAGCAGCTGCACAGGTGCAGTAGTGACCGCACTGGACCGCACAGAGGACCTTTCCATCGCTGCAGGATGTTCTACCGGGTGGTGCTGCTCCACTGGTCTCCCACTGCCCTTCCATAAAACCCAGCACCACACCCTGTATAGAAGGCTCCGCACCATCGGCCTCTGCTTCGCCTCATCCCACACGGGCCTCTGTGGTCCTTGAGTATGCCCAGCCCGTTCCTGCCTCAGGGCCTTTGCACCAGTTGTTTTCTGGGCCTGGAATACGTCTTTCCCCCAACCTCCCGATGAGGTCTTGTCTTTTAGGGTCACTGCCTTCGGGTTCCCTTGGAAGGGCCTCCCCGGCTGACCTCTGCCCACCACGAGGCCTGGTGCAGAACAGAGGCTCAGTAACCACTGCAAACCAACAGGTGAGCTAAAGCTTGTGGACCTCAGTGAGCCCAAATGAAGCAGATTTCACCCTGGAAACGCCACGGTTAGTGGGAGGGCCCTTGGCTGCTCCTCTGTCCCGTGTTTCCCCCCCTACTCTCCCTGTCCTCACTGCCCACGCCCCACTTGAGTGAGGCCTTCAGGTCTCCGCGCAGATGCCACCAGCTGGAGAGGCCTCTCCCGCCCCCTTCGCTGGCATTAGGTTCTGGAATCATTTGTGCGACGGAAACTACATAACTTGGAGTCCTTGACTGAGCTCCCTTGCTCGAGGCTGCGAGCTCCGCGGGGACTGGGAGTCTGTCTTGCTCAATCTGGACCCCACCCCCCCGCCCCCGCACCACCCGACGCACAGCCAGGTACACAGGAGGCACCCAGTAAACACCTGCCGGGTGTCCCGATGCCCAGGCTGTGCAGTGGCGGCAGCGGGTGGCCTGCACGCTCTCAACACCGGGGCTGATGGGCTGGGACGAGGAGGCAGGGGCTCGTTTATTCATTCCTCCATCAGGCACTTATTGAGCGCCTTCTGTGTGCACCGCGCCGCACCGGGCGCCCCGAGGAGGGCGAGGCCGAGCGGGCCCCACCCGAAAGGGAGCACTCGCGCTCCGCCTGGGGGGTCGGAAGCAAATCAGCATACATTTCGCCGCTAACTGGGGAACCAGCGGCGGGCGCCGCAGCCCGGCCTCGGCTAACGGGCGGCCCAGCCGGCGTTGCCCCGAACCGCCCCGCCCCGCTCCGGCGCCCAGCCCCGGCTCCTGGCCCCCGGTTCCGGCCCGCACGCACCTCCGTCGGGCCCTCGCCCGCCCGCCCGCCGGCGCCGCCCGCCGCTCAACCGCCGCGCGGTCTCGACCCCACAGCCGCGGTCCTGTCCAGCCCCGGGTCCGCGCGCGGCTGCCCACGCCCCGCCCACGCCCCTGCCCATTAGCTACCCCGGGCGCCACGGGGCCGAGCGCGCCGTGTCATTGGCTGCTGCGGCCGCCACTCAACCTGCGACTCTCCCCCACCCCCGCCACCGGCCCGGGAAAGTAGTTTCCTCTTGCCGAGCGGTAGGTACAGCCAGCAGGTGGCTCCGGCAGGAAACTCCGACCTTAGAGGAAAGGTTCCGACAGGACTTGGCTTCCAGAGCTGTCCAGGGGCGCCTGGTGCTGAATGCCGCTCCTATGGAGGCTTGGCCCGCGACGGGAAACCGCTTCCTGCGGGAGACTGTTCCTCCCCGAGCGTCCACCACGCTGATGCCCTTCCAGTCAGCTTAAGACGCAGATTCATCTGCTCAACACCCCTGCCTACTCTGTGTCAGGGCCTTTTCTGGGAGAACATCTGTGAGCAAAACAAAGATCACCCTTCCCGCCCTTTTGGAGCTTACATTCTAGGACAAGACGCAGAAAATAATCAATACACATAATAAGTGATGGAATTATGTCGGAAGTACTCTGGGACAATAGAACCCACAAGGGACTATGCTGGGTAAGTGCTGTTATTTTAAGTAAGATGCTCAAATACGCCTCATAGATGTTTGAGCAAAGACGAATGTGGAGAAGTTGGTCCAGTGGGTACATGGAGGCAAACCCTTTCACACATAAGGGACTGAGAGGCAGGCGTGTACAAGAACGTCGGTGTGGCCAAAGCACAGTGACCTGGGGAAGTGTATTTGGAGATAAGAGGAGGGAGGTCACAAAAGGCTTTGGAGGGAAACAGGGAGCAATTGCAGAATTTTGATCAGAGACGTGACCGATCCAATGTATTTTAACACAATCATTTGGTTATTGTATCAATGCTGCCAATAGGTCAAGTAAGGTGAAGACTGAAAATCGTTGATATTTTTTTTCACAGAGAGAAGGTAACATTAAAAAAAGGCGCTTGTTCCATGCCCTATAAAAGCAACCAGAGTTATGGAGAAGACTGTATTCATTTGTTAACTAAAATCTCATTGTCAGGGCGCCTGGGTGGCTCAGTTGGTTAAGCGACTGCCTTCGGCTCAGGTCATGATCCTGGAGTCCCGGGATCGAGTCCCACATCAGGCTACCTGCTCAGCGGGGAGTCTGCCTCTCCCTCTGACCCTCTTCCCTCTCGTGCTCGCTATCTCTCATTCTCTCTCTCTCAGATAAATAAATAAATAAAATCTTTAAAAAAATAAAATAAAATCTCATTGTCAGCCTACTACGGGCCAGACGTGGAGAGAGCTGCTAAGAATAAAGAATAGGGAATGCTACAATGTGGAGGGACCCCGAGGACACCGGGCTCAGTGAGAGGAGCCGGACCCAGAAGGACACATCCCGCAGGAGGACCCCACTCCCAGGAGGTCCCCAGAGGAGTCCCGTCCACACAGACAGAGAGGAGAGGGTGGGAGCGGGGGCTGGGGCAGGGGGTGGGGAGTCCGTGCTTCGTGGGGACAGAGTCTCCGTGTGGGGAGACGGAACGTTCTGGAGACGGAGGGTGGGGGTGGCTGCAGGACCGTGTGAGTGGGCTTCATGCCGTGGAGCTGTGCACTTAAAGTTGTTAAAATGGTAAGTTTAATTTTATGTATATCTCACCACAATTTAATTTTTTTCAATTAATGGAGTAAAAAACAAAAGATTGACTTCTGTCTTCCTAGCACAACCTCTGCCTGCCTTGAAGAAGGAAGCTGAGATGTTGGAGAGCCCCACACTGCAAGGAACTGAGGATGACCTCCAGACAATAGTCAGCAAGAGACCTCCAGTGCAAGAGCCTGCAAGGAACTGAATCCTGCCGACGACAACATGAGTGGTTTTGGAAGGGGGTCCTGTCCCAGGCCTGCCTTCAGATGGCTGCTGCCCAGTGGGCACCTTGATTGTAGACCTTGAGAGACCCTGAAGCTGAGGACCCAGACTGTATGAAATGCTATGAAGAGAGAGTTTTGTGTATGAATTAACCAAAGAAACTGGTGAGAAGTAGGAGCAGCAGAGCATAGATGATGTAACAGTAGAAAAGAGCTGCCATGTTGGAGGAACTGGAAGGCTGGCTGAATGTTAGTGAGCAACAGGGAAGGGAGAGATTCGGGACAGTCCCATAGACCACGTTAAAGAGTTTGAGTTTTACTGGGAATGCAATGCAATCCATTGAAGGGTGTTAAGCGGGTGAGGCTTGTGATCCAGTTTATCTCTTAAGGTGATTCTAACGTCTGTGTAAAGCCTGAATTGTAGGGAAGCAGGAATGGAGGCAGGAGACTGGTTGAGTCATTTGGGCAAGGACTGGTACTGGTTTAGGTAAGGGCGCTGGCAGGGGAGATGGAGAAGCCAGGGTGGACGGTGAGTTGACAGGACATGGCACTGGTTTGTCTGGGCAGGTTGCAGGAGTAGGAGGTGTCAGGGTGACTTCTAGTTCTCTGGTTTGAGCAATTAGATGGCGTTGTTCACTAACATAGGAAAGACTGGAGGAGGTACAGATACTGGAGGTGCTGGAAGACTGAGCTGGGCTTTGCAGAGATTAAGTATGTTTGTGAGTTCTTAACACTTAATGCCAATTTCTGCCTTCCTCATTGTAGGCACACAATATGGGGTGGCTATTTGTTATCATTAGACAATTCATTATTATATTGTCTTTTTCTGGTTTCCATAATTCACAACAACAAAAAAAGATTGTTTGTAGTAAGTGCACAGCAGGTAAATGCCCACAGGGTGACGCCTTCCTATAGAAGAATTCATGATGTGCAAAATTTGTTCATAGTTATTTAGAGAATGGGGCTGCTCGGAGAAGGATGTATTTTTGAAAACTTCCTAGGCTCCAGGACCTGTGTATGAGCAGATATCTTCAGGGTATCATAGGAAAAAACCTGACACATCTGACTGCATTGTCTACTTCAAAAAATCTCCCCTAGTGGAAGACACTATGAATGGGCTTAAGAAACAAGAGACGGACCAGAAGGAAATGCCGATGACAGAGTGCTCTCTAACAAACATCCTAGAATAAAAATGGGAAGGGAGATGAATAGATGATTCACAGGAGAACAAATACAAGAGGGGAACAAATATTATGGAAACATGAAATAAAACCATTTTAACAGCTTTATTGAAGGATAATTGACAAGGAATGACACATATTTAAAGTATGCAACTTGGTGAGTTCTTTTTTTAATATTTTATTTATTTATTTATTTGCAAGAAAGAATGAGAGAGAGAGAGAGCATGAGAGAGAGAGCATGGGAGGGTCAGAGGGAGAAGCAGGCTCCCCGCCGAGCAGGGAGCCCGATGTGGGACTCGATCCCGGGACTCCAGGATGATGACCTGAGCCGAAGGCAGTCGCTCAACCAACTGAGCCACCCAGGCGCCCTGCAACTTGGTGAGTTCTGACGTATGTGTAATATACCTGTGAAACCACCGTCACAGTCGATAGAGTGACCATGACCTGCGATTCTGCAGATTCCCTCCTGCCCCTGACTCCCAAGCATCTAGCATTCTGCACGGAGGCTCATTTGGGTAGTGTCTGGTGTTGGCTCTGGCTTAGGGCACTGCTCTGAACATGCCTCTACTTGCCTGTGGGTGGCCATTCATATGTGTTGCTGTTGGGCATACGTCCACAGCTCGTATTGTACATTGGGGGCCCCAGGGGATGCAAACGCTTGCTTTTAGGACTTAATAGAGCCGACTTTTCCCCTTTGGTGCAGGAGAAGAGTTAACACAGCAGACCTGAGACTGCTGTCCTGGGAAAGGCCAGCTTGCAAGGCAGGCCCTCAGTGGCATCTGGAAACCATACTCCAGGGGCTTCTGCCCTCCAGGGGGCTCGGGTCCCTGAACCGTCTGTACAGACACGAGGTTCGGGCTGAGCACCTGCTCCCCTCCCGGAGTCTGGGGTCTGGGCCCAAGCCGGGCAGAGGGGCCCACGAGACCGACCCCCGCAGAGAACCGGGCGCTGGGTCTCTGCCGGCCCCCTGGAGACCACACCTCACATGCGCGGTCCCGTCTCGTTTGGGGGGAGCTGAGCGCGTCCTGTGGGACACCCCAGGAGAGGACTCTGGAAGCTCGCGCCTGGTGTCCCCACCCCTGCCCCCCACGCCCCTGCCCTGAGCTCATCTGGCTTCTTATCTTCTCTGTATAAACCACAGCCGTGGGGTCGACCGTCTGCTGAGCCCTGGGGGTCCTCCCGGCACATCCCTGCACCTGGAGTGCTCTTGGGGCCCCAGATGCATCTCTGGAATGAACAGCACTTGCTTTGTTCATTCTAACTGCTCTGGTGTATTTGCCTTACATTATGGTTTTAACAGTGTTCTTCAGATAGCTAATGAAATCGAGCCTCTTTACATATACTTACTGGCTAACTGCATATCCTTTTTTTTTTGAAACACCTAAGTGTTTTGCCCATTTAAAAAACTGGGTTCAGGGGCGCTTGGGTGGCTCAGTCGTTAAGCATCTGCCTTCGGCTCAGGTCATGATCCCAGGGTCCTGGGATCGAGCCCCACATTGGGCTCCCCACTCCGCGGGAAGCCTGCTTCTCCCTCTCCCACTCCCCCTGCTTGTGTTCCCTCTCTCGCTGTGTCTGTCAAATAAATAAATAAAATCTTTAAAAAAATTGGCCTACCCCAAATCATATCTTAAATTTTCTTCTGTGATTTTTATAATTTTACCTCTTCCCCTTAGATTCCATTTTATCCATATCAAAACCAGACACAACTAAGCCATGGTACTAAACACTGGGGAAGTGTTACCCTTTAAGGTGGTAATGAGTGTGGGGCATGTTGAGGATGCTGGGTGGGCTCTGTTCGTGGTCCGGGTGCCAACCTTTGTAGAAATTCATCCAGCCGTTTGCTCATAATCTGTGCACTTACACGTATGTATTTATGCTTTGATGAAGTGTAAGAAGCATAGTAATGAGAGAGGAAAGAATGGACCCCCCCCCTCAAGTCTACATGAGCTTCCAACAGCCACGAGCAGAGCAGAATCGACCCCAGGACGGTGGCCCAGTGTCCCTGGCTACAGCTTAGAATTCTGAAAGGACAGCTGGCTCTAAAAGCACAGCCCTGATCCCTAGGACCATGGCCATTTCTAGGCTCGAACCCCGGATGGTTTCAGGATTAGATGTAGGCTCATTCTTTCCGGTCCTGATGGGGCACGCCGGCCACCAGGGACGTGTCCAGGAGGCCACAGCGCTGCCGCGCCACCTGCCGGCCCCAGCACCTCCCAGGCCAGGGCCACTTTGAAATAGTCGATTTTCAAGATGGAGGGGGCGTGTTGGGAAAGCCATTACCCAGCCTGGGGCAAAGCCTTTGCTGCAGAGATACGGAGCCCTCCGGAGCGGGTGAGCAGATTGTTTTTGCTGGTGGCAGAGCGGTTTAGGACATCTGTTTATCTGACACATTTTTCTAGGGCCTACTGGGTGCTGGGAATGCCGCAGGGTGCGCGCTGCAGGGGGCTGACAGCTCCCTGGCCCCAGCCTCTTGATGCCAGGAGCCTCTCTGGCTGTGACAACCCCTCAATGTCCCCCAGGCACAGCCCAGGCCCCTGGGGACATAACTGACCGCAGGGGAGGCCCCTTGCTTTGTTCCTTCCTCGGTGTCCTGGGACTTGATCTGGGTGAGGCTCGCGGTCCAGGGCCGGGCAGCTGCACACAGAGGGCGTGGGCACAGAGGACAGACCCCGTGATTCCATCTATGGTAGCAGCAGCCGCCTAGCATCTCAAGGCCCAGCCTACTCCTGGAAGCTTTCTCCAAGTCACGACTTATGCTAACTCCGTGTTTAATTGCCGTTTTTTCCTTCCCCCTCAGTGCACCTCTGACAGGAATATTCAGGAAGATCCTATTTCTACCTCGTGTGGGATCGAGCAGTAATTACCCACGACACACATCTCAAGTCACACGGAGAAGCCGCCAGCTTCTGGGATGAGACGTTGACAGCTGCTCTTTTCTTCCCCTCTTCCCACTCCACCAGCAGCTCCAACGGAAAGTTTCTGGATCTTTCCGAACACATAGGCTGGGTGTGGGGCAGGGGCCCTGCAGGGCTGCTCAGCGATGGACACACAGGGTGGAAGGAGTGAGATGGTCTGGGGAGACCTGTAACGCACACGTCGAGGTTTCTGGAACACAGGGCTCAGGCCCCCGTGCCTCCCGGTGCCTCTGAGTGTGGCTCTCCAAACAGGCACATCAGCATCACGCAGGCTGCTCGTGCCAAGCGCAGAACCAACGGGGGCTGGCTGAGCGAACTCAGGAGCACGGAGACTGGGCCTGTGGGGGCTGAGCTGCGTCCCCGACCCCTCAACCCCTGGACGCGGTCGCGACGGCCACAGACGTCCCCAGAATCAGGACTGCGGGTAAGCCTGCTGAGGAACCCCACATGCCCTGCGAGACACACGTGCCGGCCTGGCTCTCCCTCTCCCCGGGAACCGTTTCCCCATCTGTGGGGGGAGCAGGCGGACCTCACACGCCGGCCGCCTGCGCCACGTTCCTCACCGTGGCAGGTACAAGGGGAGGCCCTGTGGGCTACCCCAGGGAGTGTGGAGATACCCTCAGGGCTCTGCCCGGGAGGCCAGGAGTCCAGGCTGGTCCCCGGAGTGTGGTGGGAACCGAAGGTGTGGGAGAGACAAAATACAGGAGCAGCCCCGAGGTTTGCTGTTTCTGGAATCATCTGTGACCCCTGACGTGGGAACAGCTTCCAGCTGTGTCGTGTCAGCCGTCGACATGACGGATACCCGGTGCATGCCTGAGGCAGGAGCCCCGGACTGGGGGTTTCTGGAAGCTTGGGGCAGGAGGGCAGGGGTGGCGTGAGAGGTCAAGGCAGAGCGGAGCAGAGGTCGTGATGTCTATTTATTCCCCACACGTTTTCTTGTCACCATGGCTAGCACTCAAGTTAGGACATATCTTGCCAGACGTGGGATGGACTGCGGGTGGCTGGCAGTGCCCGTCTTCCTACTAGTTACCTACGACACACACGTACTGGGTCTACCTCGCAGACGGCCCGGACCACCAGGGAACCTCCCACGATCCAGATGCCAACGCTGGCGCCCGCAGACCTGACCCCCCTCCCCCCTCCTGCCAGAGGCGAGGCCGTGGGCACATCCGCAGTGGCCTCATGTCCTGGGCAGACTGCCCGGCCGCGGCTGGCATGCCTGCTCCCCAGAAGCAGCTCCGGTGGCTATGTGGCAACGTCAGGCTGAGGCAGGTGGCACCAGGGGCCCCTGCTGGCTCCCCCCCAGCCCTGAACAGGACAGGAGAACCTGCCAAGGACCCAGACAGGCTGGCGGCGGGGCCGCCTGTGGGCAGAAGGGCAGTGGGCTGGACTCCCGGCTGGAGACAGGCTGAAAGGTCATGATCTGCCCCTTGGGGTCTGTGGGTCACGAGCACTGGGCAAGGAGGATCAGAGATGACACACGTCCATCCAAATGCTCGACCGGAAGGAAAGCCCCAGGGCCTGGTCCTGCGCCCAGGACAGTCCCGCCCCCGCTCCCAACTGGGGCACAAGTCACGGAAGTTGTCCTTTAGGAAAATGCATCTGAAGACCTCCTCACACGAAAACCCGCGGTCTGAGGGGCCGGGCGGCCACCAGTGCCCAGACCGCAGCTGGCAGCGAGCTCATCCGAGCAGGGCGCGGCTGGGGAGGCCGAGGTTGTGGCCTACAGATGGCTTCTCCTGTCTCCACTGAAGACAGACCACAGGAGCTGCAGAGAGGGGCTCCGGGAGCCGTGGGTGTCCCCGACATGGCTCAACACAAAACAGGCTGCTTCCCGGAAAGTGGCCTAGGACGACCCCCGCCCCGGAACAGTCTAGAGAACACTTTCGTGACTGGGTGTTCAGGGGGCTGGGAGAGATCAGTGCTGGTCTGCGTTCACAGCTTGCTGGCTCTGTTTCGAGAAGGGTCTGGGGGCCGTGGGAGACTACAAACAGGGAGGGGAGGGCGGAGGGAGTAATAAAAATCCATCTTAACATGCAGGTCCAGTTTCTGTTTCTTTTTCTCTCTTGGGTGGTCCAACGGGAGAAGACAGCAAAATGCGAGACGGCTTCCAGTCGGTGGGAAGAAGCTGGCGGCACTGGGAGGGCTGGGGGAAGAAGACACGAGGGTGGCGGGTTAGGCTGCTGGCCAGGCGGCCGCGTTCACAGGCTGGGGCGGCCCTCGGGGGCACCAGCCCCGCGTTAGCACGGACGCAGAACATCCCCGCAGGCTCTGGGGCTGAGGATACCAAGTGCTGGCGAAGGTGTTTTGCAGAGAAGATTATGACTTAGGACAAATGTAAAACTGATCTCAACTAGGTTTTGTTCCTTTTTTTTTTTCTTTAGGAGTGCTTTGGGGAAAAAAAAGAAAAAAGAAAAACGTGCCCAAATAATTAACATTCGTTGCTGCAGGTGAAGAGATCAAAGTTGTTTTCCCTGCTGCTCAATGTTTTTGGCTTTTAAAACTTTTAAACAATTTATCTTTTTATGTTTATTTTTTTACTAATCTTACACCCAACATGGGGCTCGAACTCACAACCCCAAGATCAAGAGTCACACCCTCCATGGGCTGAGCCAGCCAGATGCCCTGTCCTTTGAAATTTTTAACAGAAAATCACAGTCAAAGGAGAAAGGAAGAGAGTGATGCCCAAGTCTCCCGGGTGGGAAACCACGGTGCCAGGAAGCACATCTTCTGGGCACAGGATGAGTTTAGGGGCCCTGGGGGGGTGCCGATCCAGCCACGGCCACTGGACCCCTAGGGACCCCCAGTCTGTTTGCCAGCAATTCTGCCTCCTTAACAGCTGCTTCCAGCAAACACACACCCAGGGAACCCCGAGTGTGCGGTGCGAGGCGGGGCGGGCCTGTCGGTCTCCCTCCCAGGGACCTCGCTGGCCATCACTGTGGCTGCCCGGAGACTTTCCGCACAAGTGCAGCCTGGGAGCCGTGGGGGCTCAGCCCTTGTCTACACAAAACCCACCGGAGTGACAAGCCCACCCACAGACAGCCGCCCGGAAGGAATAGGGTGTGAGTGGAAACACCTGGGAAGGGGCCTGATGATCCCAGACACGCCCCACCACAGAGGCCCTCCCAACCTCATGGACCCACGGCCCACGGAGACTCACGTGGCTGGTCACTCCTGCTGGTCGTCGTTGCTGGCACTGGGGGTCCGACTCCGGATCTGACTTCGGAGCTGTTCTATCAACTCTGGATTCTGCTGCTGCATCTGCTGGGCGAACTGCTGGCCGCTGCGGGACAGGCAGGCCCAGGCTCAGCCGGGAGGCCTGGGGCATCCTGGCCACTTCCTAGGCGCGTGCCCCCACAGGCAGCACGACTACTCACTGGAGGATGCAGGGTCCAACGGAGAGCCCAGGGACACAGCACCTTCGTTCCTACGCTCATGGGTAGGCCCCCACCCCACCCTCGAGTCCCACTAAGCAGGTCTACTCACGCCTGGATGAGACTGGCCAGGTCATTCTGTGAGGGGCTGGTGCCGGGAGTCCCCAGGGGGTTGTGGCCACCCGAAATCATCCCGGACATGCTGCAAGGAGAGCCACGATGTGACAGCCCGCCCATTCCCGCCAGGCCCTGCCCTTTCACCCACAGGAGCTGCTCTGTATTACTGCGCAGCGGCCCCCCCCCCCCCGGCCCAGAGCCCCCCCGCCCACCCCTCTTTCTGATGGTGGCTGCTGTGAACTCCACCAGCTCACTTGGGAACAGCCTTTGTTTTTAACTTAAAGACAGGGGTCTTCAACCAGAGGACACGAGGCCATGTCTGGGGATGCTGGCCTGCCCCCACTGCAGCCTGGATGCCCCTGGGAGTGACCCGCCCTGACTTCAGCAGTGCTGTGGATGAGAAACTGTGCTTTAAGATTTAACCACAGCCTGGCAGTTCTTCAGTAAATTAAACAGAATCACCATGTGACCCAGCAATTCCGCTCCTGGGTGTAGCCCCAGACCTGAGCCCACGACGCTCAGGGAGAGAGCCAGACACAGAAGGCCACACGGGGTGTGAGTCCACGTGGGTGACACATCCAGAACAAGCTCATCCACAGACAGGAAGGGGGCTTGTGGGGGCTGGGGGGGGGCTAGAAAGTGCCCCTAATGGGGATGGGGACTCTTTTTGGGGTGATGGAATGTTCTGGAATTAGATGGTGGTGATGACTGTGCAGGTGAATGTACTTAATACCACTGCACTGTCAACCCTAAAATGATTAAAACAGGTAAGTTTATGTTACGTGCATCCTGTCACAATAAAAAAAAAATTCTAACCACAAGACCCAAAGGAGCCGGTTGTCACTTACAGCTGCTGAACTTGGGGATTGTTCATTAGATTTGACGCCTGCAGAAAAGAATCCATCATCAGACGCGCCAGCGCCCCCACCCATCTCCTGCCTGCACACCAGGCCTGGTCGACGCCTTTCCCGGACATCTCATCTCCCACGTTTTACACTTTGATCCTGTCTGGGTCTTGTCCCTCCTTAGGACCTATTTCAGGAAGAGGCCGAGCGGGACGGGGAGAGGATCCCGCCCGGTGTGGCTCACGGGGGCCTGGCTAACTTGCGTGAGGCGCCAGAGCTGAGGTTCTCGGCTTCACGGGCCAGCGTCTGCCCCAACCACCCCCCGCTGCTGCCACAGATGCACGGCGGGGGCTGTGCGCTAACAACTATAAAACCCAGCCGGCGTGCCAACCCTAGGTGCAGGAGGTCAAGAGGTGTGAGCACTGCCAGGCTGAATCCCCCTGCCCTGTGGCGGCTTCAGCCCCTGCCGGGGCCCAGCAAACCGTCCTGCCTGCAGACTTAGTGCAGCCTCTGCTAATGCAGAAGGCAAGATGCCCCTTGTTGCTCTGAGGGGACCTCTCTCTTCCTGACGCATGGAGACCCTGGACCCTGAGGTGCAGTGAGTGAGACCACTTGGGGACACGCACATGCAGGGACCAGCCCTGCGCGGAGCTAGCGCTTCCGGCCTTAAGTCCCAGCGTCGAGAGGTGGCGCTTCCGCCTCAGGGACATCCACCCGAACCTTGGGAAGTAGGTGCAGTTCTGCTGCGGCCAGGGTCTCCACGGCGTGAGGAGGAAACCGAGGGGGGGGAGGGCACGCCGTTTCCCTGGGTTAGTCGGCTGGGGAAGGCTCGTGGGTCCTTTGTGCTCAATACTGGGCTGGTCTCACTTGGGGTGGTGGTGTCCCGGGACAGGGGGCGGTGTCTCGGACATCTGTGGTTGTCACATGGGGGGGGCTCTTGGCACTGAGGGGGTGGGGCTGGGGCTGCTTCTCTGTCCCCCACGGTGCCCCCCTCAGACCCCCAGAGAATGGCCTGGCCCAGAGCGGGCAGCCCTGCCCCGCGACAGGCGGCCCCCACGCGGGCGGGAGCGCAGGTTACCATGCTCATGAAGCTGGGGTTGTTGAGCAGGCCGGCGATGTCAAAGCTGCCAACACCTCCTGTCTGTGGGGATACGGAGAGCCCTGGTGAGTGGTCACAGGACCATGGCGCTGGCCCCCGGGACGGGGACAGAAGACCCCACAGCGGGGGGCCCGCGATCCTAAGAGGTTGACGGCTCAGACGTCCTCACAACCCAGCAGCCAGGCCTCGCTGCCCGACGGCGCTTCATCAGAGGCATGAGCCACGGCACCGACCGCTTCGGCAAAGTACCGGGGGAGGCCCGGACACCCTGGGCCCCCGCAAAGCCTGGAGGGCCTTCACGGGTGACAAGCTGCCAGGGAACCATCACCCACCAGCCCACGGCCCACACGCCCAGCCCTCCTCCGTCAGGCTCTCACACTCGGCCACCACCCCCTGCCCCGGCCGCCCCAGAGCCAGGCGTCTGGCAGCGAAAGCCGGCCCCTGTGCCGCGGACTCTGCCGGGAAGACGCATCTAGCCTGGTCTAGGCCTGCATTCCCCCCCCACCCACTCCTTCCCATGGAAACCCCAGTAGGGAAGTTGGCCCCCACTCCCCTGCTCCCACCCACTCCCTTCCCTAGGGCTGCTCACGGGACTAGGTGTCTCTCTCAACTTCAGCTCGGCTATCTTGAGGTTCGACTTGTAGGTCTCGTTGTCAGGATCCAGCTCCAAGGCCTTCTTGTAATAGGCCACGGCCTCGGTGTGCTTATTCAAACTGGAGAGCGCGAGGCTGGGGGAGAGACACCAGTGCGCGGAGAGGGCCTGGGAGGCTGCCCGCCACTTCCAACCTGGTCCAGTGGTCACTGTGGCCTAGCGTCTGATGGGGACGGTGGGGACACAGCCCATAAGGGCCGGGGGCGCTGAGAGGGTGGGTGTATGAAAAGACTTCAAGGGCACAAGGGCTAACGCCCCAGAAGAGTCCACACAATAGGTCTGAAGGCCCAGAGGAGGGGCGCAGAGCAGAGAGCAGGGTGGTTGGACGTGGCCGGTCCTGTTCTTGGCACAGAACTCCTAAAACCCGAAACTTCCCAAATCACAGGCATCTCCTGGTTTTCATAATGACCCCCTTTGATCACACCCGAGTTTATGCCCAGGAGGTGACTCAGGATGGGGCTGGGGCCAGGAAGACCAAATCTGGGATTTGAGGGGGGACCTCGTGACCCCCAAACCTCCGGGAGAGGAGAAGGCTGGAGAGCAGGCTGTAAACTGAACAGTGAGATGTGGAAAATGTCCCCATTGGTGAAGGCATCACACCCCACTCTAGGGGGCCAGACAGAGCTCCCACCCGGGGACCCTCCTGGACCCTGCCCTGTGGAGCTCTTTGTCTGCATCCTCTACGTGGACCGGTACGCACAGCCACTGGACCAGCAAACCCCTGGAGCACAGGAGAGCAAGTGGTGGGAACCCGATTTACAGCAGCCGGGTCGGAAGGAGGGGAGGCCCAGATTTAGGACATGTGAGTGGGGCCGACTCCTGCGTCCAGGCAGAGGATCAGGACTAAAGCAAACTGCTGGACACCTGGCAGGTGGTGGGGCTGGGCGTGGGGGAAGCACCCTGAACAGGAAAGGGGGTAACAGCTGGATGTAGGGGGGTGGGGCGGTCCAGGAAGGTAGAGACGGTGCGGCCCCTCCCGGTCCCCCCGGGGGCACTCACCCCATCCTGCCGTAGGCTTTGCTGTAGGACGGGTCTATGCAGATGGCTCGCTCACAGTCCTGCACGGCCCCAGTGTAGTTCCCGAGTTTGCTGTAGGCCGCGGCCCTGGGGAAACAAAACGAGGCAGGCAGGGCTGCGGGGCTCACTCGCTGCCAAGGAGGAGCCTTTTGGGAAGGAGCCTTGGCTTCCCCATCTGTCAGGTGGGGGTAGGGGGGGACACAGGGTTGCCAAGAGCTTCTGTCTGCAGAGCACCTGTGCTGGGGGCTGTGACAGCCTCCTGGGGAAACTGAGGCTGGAGGCAGAGCAGCTTGGCTCAACGATGCTGCAGAGCACCTGACTGTGATGAGACGAGAATCTGAACCCCAAGTCCACAGGCTCAGCACCCAGGCTCTGCCCCCCAATCAGGAGCTGGAGCCCATTCTATGTCAGGGAATAAAATCGGTTAGACAGTAACCGATCCACGTGAGACCCGTCCCAGCTCTCAGGGGTCTCCTCTCATGCGAGATGGGTTTTTGGACAGTATCAGGTTTTAATATTGCACTTTGCATTTCTCCCAGGTTTTGAAGTGCAGAAAGGTGTCAGATAGGAAACACTGAGCGGCTGGGCTGGTGGAGGGTGTACGGGATTCTCGGGACTATGTGTGCAACCTTCCTGTCAATCTGTTTGTGTTACTGCCCCAGAGTCAAAATAAGGAAACCAAAACGACAAGCAGCTCTAGCCTGGCGTCAGCGTGGATGACGTGCGGCACCCCCTTCCTCAGTACCCACCGCTGGGTCCTGGGGCCACCCTGCGTCCCACGTCCCACTCGGTCCCTCTCGTCAGCACAAGGGCCCATCCTGGGAGGCCGTGGGAGAGCGGAGGCAGCTCTCCCTTTAAAAGGACCAGCCGGACGCCGTGAAGGTGGGTGTGGAACGTCACCTGTGGTCTGGCTTATTTCCTCACCGCAGCATCTGTGCCGAACGCTGCCCCGATTTTAACTCTAATGCCACGCTCAGCTCCTGCGGACACCAAGCTGGCCGCCTGCTGCTGATTTGGGGCTCTGGCTGAACACCCCCTAAGTGACAGTACAAATGCTTCTCCCATGTGCGCCTCGCCAGTACCTGTTACAGAAATAGACCGCGTTGGCTGGGTTCAGCTCGATGGCTTTCCCATAGAAGTGCACGGCAGCTTCAAAGTTCTCTACTTTCATCTGCTCATTTCCTAAAGAGAAAGAAAAAAGAGCGTACGCCCCGCTGTTCCCGTCAGGCCCGAGGGCTCTGAGGCATCAGTCAGGCCCGGCTCTCCTGGGGTTTTCTCTGAAGATGTGAGAAGACTTTGGGGGGCAGGTTGCAACACTCAGATGTAGGCTCGGGGGTGGGGTGTGTGTGGAGGATGTGGTTTGCGTCCGGCATCTTGTGGGTTCTGGCCTGAGCTGACACTCTGATGACTGTCACTGCTTTGGGTGGGACACGTGGAGACATAAATCTCTAATACTGTCCATTTTGCTCCTTCTCTTGGAAGTAACCAAGTTTCAGGAAATGTACTTCAAACAATTCAGCAGTTTTTAAATGTTCACAGGTGTCCATCACCACGATCTAATGCCAGAACATTCCATTTCCCCAGAAAGAAGCACTGACCCTATCAGCAGTTACCCCCACCCCTCCCCAGCCTCTGACACACACGAACTCATTTCTTTGTCCGCAGAGCAGATGAGCCTGTTCCGGACGTGTCACCCACGTGGACGCACACCCCGTGTGGCCTTCTGTGTCCGGTTCCCTCCCTGAGCGTCGTGGGCTCGGGGTCCGTCCCCGGGGCCGCGCGTGTGGGCGCCTGGCTCCTGCTCACGGCCGAGGGACGCTCCAGAATACGGACAGGTCACGTTTTGTTTATCCTTTTTACCAGTTTAGGGACATTTGGGCTGTTCCACCTCTTGGCTTCCGCGGACACATGCCTGCATCGCTCCTGGGCCCACACCTGGGAGGGGAGCGGCTGGGCCACGAGCCCCCGTGTGACCACCTGGGAGCGGTCAGAACGTCTTCCACGGCGACTGCCCCACCCACATCCCCACAGGCCGCGCGTGGGGCTCCGCTCCCGGCACACCCTCGCACCTGTGTGCTGAGCGCCGCGGCACAGCAACCCCCACCCCCCGGGCCCCCCAGCGGGCCAGGTGGTGAGGTGCCTGGGGGGGTGCCGACGGTCTCGCCCTCACCTTCAGTTTTGAGGCGCTCTGCCTCAGCCGAGTCCTCCTCTGAAGGTGGAGTTCGCTCGGGGCTTCTCAGGTCCTGCGGCACCTCCTGGCCCCAAGGCAAAGCCGAGCTGTTTAAGGGGCGGCGGGCAACCCTACCACTTCCCTCCTGCTCCAGGGCCGCCCCAAGCTGAGCTCCGACACAGAGCACCTCAGGCCAGGGTGGCCGGGGCCGAGCCCCCCCACTTCCCAGTCTGCAAACCGGGAACCCCACTCCACGGCACGCAGCCTGGGAGAGTGCGGGCCCCGCACGGGTGCCCCAGAGCCCTCGGCCCACTCGTGCTGTTACTTTTGTTCTGGGAAGCCCAGAGACTCACCTTGCCCGCAGCAGCTGCTTCAAATATTTCCGGAAGAGTCTGAGGAAGAGCGAGGTCGTGGTCCTCAACAGTCACCCCAAAAGCAGTCTCCAGGCACTGGATCGCAACTGGGAGGGAGACAAAGGCATTTTCTTCTGAATGCAGCCCAGACTTTAGGACTTTGGGGCTCAGAGGGAGTCGCTCCCCTGAGAAACCCGGGTCAATGGCCTGGCACGTGGCAGGTCCCGAAACGCCACCTCCCACCGTGTCACCGCGGGCTGAGCCAGCTGGACGCCAAGGCGCTGGTGGCGGGGTCCGGCCTGGGCTCCTCGCCACCCCCCCCAGCCCCATACGGCTTCCAGGTGCTGTGGCTGCCCCTCCCTCTTTTAAGAGAGAGCCTTTCCCCTCTCCTCAGTGGAGTTGCACACATGCGGTGGTGGAGAAGGTTCCGGAACAGCCCCTTGATGGGAAAGATGGGGAGATGACCAGAACACCTGCAGGAGCTGGGCCTGAGGTGATGGGGGCTGGCTACGTGTGGCAGGAAGGAGGGAGGGCCTCCTTCGTACCTTCCAAGCTCTCCTGGGCGTCGGACGAGAGCCCCCCGTGCCGGAGCTGGTCATGCAGGAACCGGATGATGGCGTAGGCCAGGCGCTTCTTGTTATCCATCTTGAGACAGGAAGAGACAACGCCCTGGGGTTTTCAGGATCTGCGGACCCAAGTCGAGGGCGTGAGGAGCACAGACGAGGGGCATGGGTGCTGCCGAGACAGTGCCCATGGCACCTGCCACTCCAGGCCCCCTGGACTGCTGGGCCCGGCTCACTAGGCCTGTGCCAGCCCCGGCCCCAAGGAAGCCACTTTAAGCACAAGTGAGGGCGGTTATGACCCCGTTTCACAGACAGACACTGAGGCCCCTGCAGGCGGGTGGAGTGTTCCCAGCCATCCTGCCTCCTTACTCTAAAGAAGGCCACATGGCCTTGGCTGTCACCACCCCTTCCCGGCTTCAGTGGCACGCAGGGACTCCCAGGGATGCAGAGGACCAGCCCTCAAGTGCTAGTTCTGCAGGTCTACAAACCCCAAGTTTTAGCTAAGCACAAGCCAGACCCCAGTCCCACCTGCTTCTCCACTCAGGTTGAGAAAACAATCTGACAGTTCTCCAGGTCCTGAGACCCCCGAGGGCCATGAGGGGGTTGGACAAGTATCGTGGGGGGGGGGGGGGGGGAGGGGGGGGGCGGGAGGGGAGGGGCCCAGAGTAGACCAAAAGGCCCCAGAGGCACCGGGCCCTTCCCAGGCCGTCCAAAGGCCTTCTCTGGGTCCCTCTGCTGTGTGCTGGACTCCCAGGCCAGGAGTGATCCTGCCTCAGGGGCTCTGGGCCATGTCTGGGTACACCTGTGGTGCTCCTGGCATTGGGCGGACCTGCTGCCCCCGCTCCCAGGATGCCCACACAACAGAGAACTATCCGGCTCCAGCGTCAGCAGAGGAGAGCTCTGGTCTGGAACATTCTGGGGGGGAGGAGGGTCTGCTACCTGAGGGTCCATGATGGGTCAGGCATGTCACAACACCGTCTCATCCCGCTCCGCATCATGACCTCCAGGGCCACTCCCACTGACAAGGGGCAACAGGCTGAGGTGGGGGTCTGGGAGTAACGGCTGGCCCAAGGCTGCTCAGGTCCACCTGCACAGCTGGAACCCGCAGCAGGAAGCACCTCGGTCTCCCGCAAACGCCTCCAGTGGGGTGAACAGACTGTGCCCCATAGAAAACGAGGAGCGGTCCTCCTGACCACATTCTCATGAACCTGTTACCAACCACAATGGTTAAGCGACGCCAGGAAGAGTCCATCATGTAGCCCCAGGCTCTCCACCCTGAGATGGGGTCAGTATGGGGCGGGGTGGGGGGGCGGGGTCACCGCCACTGGACAAGGGCAGTCAAGACGCTCGGTGCTGGCCGTGTGCAGAGCTCGGTCTCTGGTTCACGGGAATCTATGTCCATCAACAGCTGCTTCTTAAAGTGAGGGAACCAGACACAGAAGGCCACACGGGGTGTGATTCCACGTGTGGGACACGTCCAGAACAGGTTCATCCACGGACGGGAAGGGGGCTCGTGGGGGCCAGGGGCTGGGGGAGAGGTGGGGAATGATAGCCGATGGGTACAGAGTTTCTTTTTAGGGTGATGGAATGTTCTAGACTTAGAGAAAGGTGTTGGTTACATAGCAGTGTGAATATACCAAAGTCCACTGAATTCTAAGACATGTGAATTATACTTCAATCTTAAGGGAGAAACTTGAAACGCCTGTGTTCCGTAAAGCAGGAGAAGTAATTAAAAACTCTTTGAAGAGGGTAATGAGCTTCCCATTTCTGGACACAAAGCTCCTTTATCTAGCAAGTGCCTTTGGCCGGAGAGCCTCCCTAGAACTGGAAGGTCTGCGATCAGGATGGGCTGGTGCCCGGAGGACAAATGGCCAGTCCCAGACCAGAGGACCTTAGGGGCGATAGAGGGGCCCACAGAGATCAACCACCACAACCCACTCGTTCTGGGGGAAGCAAAGCTCCAAAAGGCGAGTCCTGGTCCCCAGCTGAGAGGGTATAGAGAGCAAACCAGTCAGCCTGCTGACCACCAAACCTAAGGAGAACAGACTAAAATGTCAAACTGTTTCCATTTCAGATATGTTTCGGCAGTGGCATTATTTACAGCAGCTGACGGGTAGACATGACACCGGCGTCCATCCGTGGATGAATGAGTAAACATGGTGCAGTCCATCCCCACGCTGGAACATGACCCAGCCTTAGAAAGGAAGGGACCCTGACACTTGCCACGACTCGGAGGGACCCCCGAGGACACCGGGCTCAGTGAGAGGAGCCAGACCCAGAAGGACACATCCCGCAGGACCCCACTCCCAGGAGGTCCCCAGAGGAGTCCCGTCCACACAGACAGAGAGGAGAGGGTGGGAGCCGGGGCTGGGGCAGGGGGTGGGGACAGAGTCTCCATGTGGGGAGATGGAACGTTCTGGAGACGGAGGGTGGGGTGGTTGCAGGACCGTGGGAGTGGGCTTCATGCCGCTGAGCTGTGTGCTTAGAGACGGTTACGACAGTAAATTTTGTTCTGTATATCTTATTAGAAATTAGAATTAGGCGCCTGGGTGGCTCAGTTGGTTAATCATCTGCCTTCGGCTCAGGTCATGATCCTGGAGTCCCAGGATCGAGTCCCACACTGCATCAGGATCCCTGCTCAGTGGGGAGTCTGCTTCTCCCTCTGACCCTACCCCTCTCGTGCTGTCTCTCTCTCTCTCTCAAATAAATAAAATCTTAAAAAAAAGAAATTAGAATTAGAATTAATTTCTAATTACGATTAAAAAAGTTTTGTTTTCTTTTGTTTTCGAAGTCTGAGGTCCTCCCCTTCAGATATACAGTCCCAGGACCCTTTATATGTTGTGTTCTAAGTCAGGCCTTGAGGGTCCCGTCTGGGCAGCTGCCTGTGGAGAATGAATCTTGCCTTCTTAAGTCATATAAGTGCCTACACCCCACCTACGGGTTCCAGGCACCACTTCTGAGCCTGGTTCCCCTCCCCTCCCATGGGTCACTCACACTGGGCTTTGTGTATGCACACGTGTGTATGGGAGGACAGGGCTTGGTCTTCTCTCCCAGGGAATGAATGCAGGTCTTGATGATGATGTGTGCTCACTTAAGAGTGGACTGAGAAAGGAAATCTGGTCTTTAGCAGACATTTCCTGCCCTCCTGGTCTGAGTGGTGAAGATGGGGGGAGGGGAGTGTATGAAGCTATTGAGGTTCATGGAGGCAAGGGTTCAAAAAACTAAAGACCAAGTCACGCTCCTTTCTGGAATACTTCCAGTCCTTCCCATGCCCCCAGATCTTGGAGCCTCAGGGCATTTGCACATGAGGATCCCCTGCCCCCAAAGGACTTGAAGCACCCTGGCCTGATTTCCCCAGCATAAGCTCTCACTGCCTGCTTCCTGGGCTTCTCCTGGTCTGTTGCTTGGTCTTCTCTCAAATGCCGGCCCCTCCAATGCAATTCACTGTCAATAAGCCAGAGTCCCCTGGAGCCTGCCCTGGGCCTGGCATAGTGATGACAGGCCATAGAGGCCTGATTTGCCTGGGTGGACAAGAGCCTGGAGTTCATGTCTTAGGTCCAGCCCTTTTTGCCTGAGGCCGGTTCCATGTCACCTTCCCCACCCTAAGCTAAAGAATGCTCTTTGTCCCATCTCAAAGAGTCGCAGCCAATACCCTCATTTTTCTCTTCTATAAAATGGGGTAACAGAGGTGTCCTTACCAGCTGTTACAAGAATTCATGACTTAATGTAGAGTTTCTCTACCTTGGCACTATCGACATCAGGGGCTGGATCATTCTTTGCTGGTGGCGGGGGCGGGAGCTATCCTGTGCAGTGCAGAGTGGTAACAGCATCCCTGGTCTCTGTCCAGTGTGCCCTGAAGCAAGGGGCAGAATCTCCCCCCCGGTGAGACCCTTGGGTCAGGGGGTTTCACTGACCCCCAGGAGACTGCGCTCTCTAACCATCTGACTCCTGAGGTCCTGGGATGCTGCACACATTGAAATACACACACTGAGTCGGAGGGAGAGAGGGGGTGACTCACAGACGCTAGGGTCGCCCTGGCCTGTACCCTCTGACCCCGGGGGATTTACTCTGGTGTCCAGTGTGACAAGGGACCAGACTCAGTTTTTCCAAATAATCATTGCAGGGTCTCTCCCACTTGGCCCTAACATTAGAGGCAGGTCACTCTCTGTGGGGGTGTCCTGAGCACTGTACGGGTTCAGCAGCATCCCTGGCCACACCCCTTCAATGCCAGGGGCACCCCTCCCCACAGTGGTAACAACCACAGATGTCCCCAGACATGGTCAAACCACCCAGCTGAAAATCACTGAAACTCCAAGTGAGAAAAGTAAAGGCCCTAAATCAGTACAAGTCAGATTTTTCTGGCCCAAGAACTTTGCTGCAAACTTTCCGTTTGCACATTTTGGGCTTCAGCCCTGCAGCAGAGGGATCCTGGGTCCACAGCCGAGGACTATGTCCCCAAGGTGTGAGAAGGAACCAGCAAGGCATTTGACACAGGTGGTCCACAGAAACTCTTGCTTCTTTGCGAGATAGTTTGTGAATCTTACTTCCACGTATGGCTTTTGAGATAAATCACCTTCTGCTCTCCACAAAGCTGGGCCCAACAAAACACGAAGACAGCACTTTTCCTCGACTCCTACCAGGCACCCGGACCCTTCTGAACAATCACAACTTGTAGGGTTTTGGCTGCTGGACAAAATTCTCAGAGAAGGCCTACTCTCTGAACAGTGAGTGCTTTATGAGCTCTCAGAAGGCACCACGGAGGTGCTGGCCGCACAGGGTGCCCGGCAAGCCTGGTGAGGGTGGAGGGGGGGTCCCGGTGCCAGCTCCTCCGGTGCTCTTCACAATCCCTCCCGGCTCTCAGTCCACCTTTTCGTTTCCACATTTAAACACAAAAACAAAAACAGTCTCTGCTTCTTTTATTTCCCTGCCCAGAACTGGTCAAAGGGAAAAAAATGGCACGCCTCACTAAAATGAGCGACCTCTCACCCCCCTCGGACGGTGGAGCACCTGCTGCTGAGGGCTGCCTGCCTCCATCCTGAGCCCGGAGCTCTGCTCACAAACAGCAGTGTGCGAAGCCTGGGCTCTAGTCCTCTCTCTCATCCTAGCACACTCCTGGTATCTGAGCAAGGACTGTCCCGAGGCTTGAGCCCACGACCCCCATCAAAGCCTGTTTCTTCTTAAATGCCGCCAAAATACTCTGCATGCTTAAAGACCATCAAATGCTTCCTGAAACTTCATGTGTGTGCATGCGATGCCTTTCACCAAACCCTCAGTGGCTCTGCTCAAACACAACTGCTCATCTTTCCTCCAACCCACCTGGAAACTCTTAATTCCCTTCAACACTGAGCTGCAAAGATATCTCAGACAGAGCTAGATGCCCGTTATTTTCTGGCAAAGTCCAAGTACCAGCCTTATCACCAGCCCAGAAGGCTTTACAACTGTCATCCGTCTCCCGCCCTCACCCAGACTGTGAGCACTGGACAGACATCTTCCCTTTCAACTCCAGCACTCAGCAGTGTCTGCTCCGTATGGTCTTGGGAAAACATTAGATCCCTGTCAAATCCAGAGCCACCCGACCAAGTTCTCTGGGAAGACCAGAAGAGACAACAAACCTTGGGTCTTGCCTACCTACCAACAGTTTCCTTTATTCCTTCAACCCCCTTGCTGAGCATTTCCCACAGGGGCTAGTGTTGGGTCTTGGTTAAAAAAAAAAAAAATTGGGGCGCCCGGGTGGCTCAGTCGTTGACCGTCTGCCTTCGGCTCAGGTCGTGATCCCAGGGTCCTGGGATAGAGCCCTGCACTGGGCTCCCTGCTCGGTGGGAAGCCTGCTTCTCCCTCTCCCACTCCCCCTGCTTGTGTTCCCTCTCTGGCTGTCTCTCTGTCAAATAAATAAAATCTTTAAAAGAAAATGTAGGCTCAAAGTTAAGACTATAGCTCACAATCTGGGGCAGAGCTTAACCCCGTTTACAGTTGCTCACCCCTCCTGAAAGACTGAGTTATAAACCTCAGGTGAAATCCTTGGCGTGCTGAGCAGTTTCCAGGCCCCGAGCTCAGTGCGGTGCATGCAATCACTTATGGAGGGGATCAGTGATCATTTTCTGAAAAGGGCCACAGGGCTTCTGTGGAAACCACTCAACTTTGGTCTTGTGCAAAAGCAGTCAGAGGTTTTGTGATGGACTGCGCCCACAAAACTTCATTTGCTGAAACAGGCTGCAGCTGGGATTTGGCCCCCTGCTCACAGTCAGCCGAGTCCCGGGTTGTTTATGCCGATCCCCATTGTACAGAAGGAAAAACTGAGGTTCAGAAAGATGGGGGTGCTACCCGAGGTCACCCAGCTTAGAAGACGCAAACCAGGAATTTTGAGCCCAGCAATCGGGACTCCAGAGCCTCCTAAACTCCGAAGTGCCCTTTCCTCTCCCCACAAAACCTGCACGTTTTCTTGAGTTCATACCCCACCCCCCTGCGCACAGCTCATGCCGGTGAGGAAGCACTGGTCTAGAGGAAGGTTTAACTTCCCCACTGTGGACACTGTGGACGGTTCTCCGTGGGGAAGTCCTGGGCACCGCCAGGTTAGGCAGCATCCCTGGCCCCCACCCACTTGCTGCCAGGAGTACACCCAGTCGTGGCCACAACAAATGACCCCCAGACATTGCCCTGTGTCCCCCAGGGCGATAAGACCACTGGTCTGGGGAGAAGAAAAGCAGACAGACCAATCAGAGAGAGAAAACCAAAGGAAACGGAACATCCTGCAGCGTAAGGGATGCAGACTGCACACGTTTTCTCACACCCAATAAACCAGTCGTTCTCTAGTAAACTCTTAACAAGCAGAAGGAACCTGAGCAGAGAATGTTCTGCTTATTCAACTTCACAGAGAGCCTAGGAAGCACGCTCTTCTAGGATTCCCGTTTTAGAAGAAAAGCGCTGCTCAGAGAGGGAAGCGATCTGCCCCAGCTCACACAGCCAGTGAGAGGAGGTGGAGCTGGTCCTCAGCCCCAGCTCCTTCCCACTTCTAGCACAACCGACAGAAGACCCGAGCTGTGAAAGACCTAACAGCCGCTATTAAGCTCTCACTTTGCGGGGGGGCCCTGCCGCTTTAATCTTCCCCATACCCCCACCCCCTACCCCACTCAATCTGGCAAGGACCGTGACGACGCCCGTTTTACAGCAGGGGAAACTGAGGCTCCGGGAAGCCAAGAGGCTGGCCAGGTGGAGAGTGGCGGCTCTGGGACAGGACCCCGACCTGCGCCCCACGAACGGGGGTCCCCACTCAAAGGGGCTGTGTTTCCGGGGCAGCAGAGGACACCCTCACTGCTTGCGGGACATTTTCACCTCCGGCTGTCCACGCACGGGCCCGCGAAGCAGCATTTCCCGGGCCTGGGGAGGTTGACCAGGGCCGGCGAGGGCCTGCCCGACGCCACCCTTCCTCAGTTTCCCCTTCGCGCCGCCCACTCACAGCCGCCAGTGGATCGCGGCGACCCCAGCCCCAGACCAACCTCCCCTTACGGGCCCTGGAGCCCCGGGAGCTCCGAGCCGCGGACCCCAAGCACACCCGGCACAACGCCGGGCACCCCCTCCACGACTCACCTCTCAGGCGGCCGAACGCCGACCCACCGACGGCTGCGCCTGCGCACCGCGGCGCTGCCCGGCCCCGCCCCCGGCCGCGACGCCTGCGCGGAAGGCGCCGGCTCCCGTTGAGTTTTATTCTGCGCAGGCGCGTTACTTATCGAGGCGGGCGTGGGGAGAAGTGACGTAACTTAGAGGTGGGGGCGAGCTGGTCGTTAGGGCAACTGACCTCTGCGACCGAACGGAGGCCGGAAATCAGGACCGATTTCCCCTCTCGAGCGGGAATGGAGCGGTGCATGGTGGGACGGTGGCGGACTCCGGCGCGTTCCGCAGAACCGGTCACGTGCACGAGCCGGCCACGTGGTGTTGCTGCGTTCGGGTATCCGGCGCCTGGAGCCGCACAGGCGCTCTGTGAATGGGAGCGACTGTTGCCCGCGATCTTTTACACTTACTCACCCACACATCCGCCCACAAACGCATTCTTTCCTTCATTCAACGCACAAGACGTGAAGGAACACAGACATGTATGTTTAGAGCAGGTGCCTAATAGCCAACAAGTACTTCCTGCACACCAACTGTGAAAACCAGGGAAGTGTTCGCTCCCACTACCTTGTACTGGGGTCGACGAACTACAAACTAGCACACTAGGACGTAAACGAACCCTCTTCACCTGACGGCAAGCTCTATAAAGAAAAAATGGCGTGCCGGGACTATGGGGAGGCAGGTGGGCCGGGATGGTTAGGGAAGATCCACCTCGTCGAGGTGGATTTGGAGGATGAGGGAGAAAACTCCAGGTAACGGAAAACAGCGAAAATGAAGGTTAAGTAGGATAAAGCTTGGTGGGCTTAGTAGAGGGTGAGTGATGAGGAAGTTCCCTAGATGACTCACAACTGATCACCGTTAGTGTTGCAGTTGCAAGAAGTGTTCTCCTAACTCACTTCTATCCTATTTAAAACGCATGCATGTTTAAAGCCCGGTGTTCTTTAATTTCTTTTGCAGAAATAAGGGGAGTGGGTTTTTTGGCCATTTTAACTCTAGTAAATTTTCCTCCCTGGGCCTCTTACTTCAAGATTTAGTTTTGTTTTAATGGACTTACAATAGTTATAGGTTAGAATACCGCACCGTTTAAAAACACCTGTTGTTTGAAGTCCCGGATTCATTTACTGAAGCTTTCTCGATTTTTTTTTAAGCTGCCTTTAATTTAATTGATTCACCGGATTCTGCTGATACATGTGTCCCGCCTATATTCGTTCGATGCTAGAAGTTGGGTAGGACGCTGGTTGGGATAATCTACAAAAAGCGCCTGAGATCTGGATGGTAAGGGGTTACTAACGTGACGCCCTCAGGTGCGGGAGAAAACCTGCAAAATCAGCCCAATACAGTTATAAAAGTAGAAAGGGGGCAAGCGCAAATTAATACGGGAGCTAAAAGCCCAGGCCGAGAAATCCAGGCAGAAAGAACCGCAAGTGCACAGGCTTCCGGGCGCCAGCTGTGTGTGGTTTCCATGGAAACGTCCCTCCCGGGCCTCCCCGAAGGTTCCGCCCCTGTCGCCGCCAGAGCCAATGACGGGCAGGGAGGGTTCCAGCGCGTGCGTAGAGGGCGTCAGCCTGCCAAAGCACCGCCTCGCGGTGTGGGCGGAGCTAGGGCGCGCGTGCGCCCTGTCCTTCGGCGCACGCGCTCTCCCAGCATTCAGCGGGCGCGCGGGCGGCGGGCACCTCGGTCCCGGCTGCTGCGGACCCTGAGCGGACGGAGGCGGCTGGCCGCGGCAGCTGAGGCAGCCGACGCGGACCAGGTGGAGGGAGGGGTCGCCGGTGCACACCCGCCCGCCATGAAGCCCCCCGCAGGTACCGGCTGCCCCTCGGAGCGGCCCCGCTCCCCGGACCCGGGCGTCCCCTCCATCCTCGCGCCTCTCCCGGGGTCGCGACTCGGGCCTAGGAGCCGAGCCCAGTGACCCTCGAGGGGCTGGAGCCTGGGCGGGGATGGGTCGGCGAACCCGGGACCCCGCCCCCTCGGCGGCCGAATGAATGAACCAGCTTTTCCAGAGCTCCACTCATTCAGCCAATTCCGAGTGTGTGGCTTCCACTGAGCACCGGTCGGGCCCTGGGGGCGGACTCCGGGGGAGACCGTGAGCTCTAGGCGGAGTTGCAGAGCCCGAGACAGGCGTTCATCCCGCCCAGAAGCGAGCCAGGGCTTTAGGGAGTGGTCGGCGATGGGGCTGAGGGCGCTTCTCTCGAGAGGGCGGTCCCTGAGGGGCTTCTCGGGGGAGGTGGCCCATCAGCCCGGGCCCAGCGGGGGAGAAGCAGCTGTGCTGCTATGACCTGCGCGAGGACCTCCGCAGGTGGCGGGAACTGCGAGGGCGAAGGCGAGGAGGCAGGTGCACGCGGAGCGCGTTTGGGTAGCAACAAGTCATTTCGGGGAGAACACAGCTGGGAGTCCCTTTTATTTTAAGGACAGGGGGCGTCCTGAAAGGGTTTTCGTTATGGGAGCGATGAGGTGTGCGTCCTGTATTTAGGAAATTGCCCAGGCTGCTGTGTGGTGCCTCCCGAATTTTCTCTTGCTGGTCTCTCTTCCCCCCCGGGTTCTTTCTCCAGCCCACTGTGATGATAATTGCATTAATGATAATTAGGGTTTTTCAGGCCTCAGGAGGGCAGGAATGTTGTCTGCCTTGTTGGCAGCAGGATTGTTAGCCTGGGACAGAGCAGGCAGGTGGCAAGCTGAACTACTACAGGATGAATGCGTCCGCTCCAGTTTTCAAGTCCTAGCTCCTGCAGGAGGTTTTGCTGACAGTTCTCAGCGTACGCGCATCTCCTACCTTGTCCGAGCTTCTGGAGCCCTTGTTTGCCACCAAATGTAACACAGACCCACATCTTTTTTCTGCAGTTCTGAAGTCCACAATGCTCTGCAAGCAGAAGGATTTTCCCTAAGCTCATGGCAGTCAGTTGGCCGGAATATCCGGCCTGTCCTGGCTCAAGAGCCTTTCTTTTTCCCACTTAGTGTATGTTAGTGGTCCTCAGCTGGGGTGATTGTGCCACGCCAGGGGACACTGGGCAGTGTCTGGGGACATCTGTGGTTGTCACGACTGGGGGTGCTCCTGGCATTGAGTGGGTGGGGCCCCAGGGGTGCTGTTCAATACCCTACAGTGCCCAGGTGGACCCCCACCCCAGAGGGCGACCCAGCCATAGATGTTGATAATGTCGTTAAAAAAAAAAAACAAACGCTGCCCTAGAGACGCCAAACACGGGTCCCAGCTGGCAGTACCCTGCAAAGATCCCATCCCTCTTTAGTATTCACAAAAAGGCGGGTAGTCCAGGATCACTGTGGCCCTGGTCAACTCCTTGCCATGCCAGAGGGGAAAATGGGGCACAAGTGGGTGTTTCCTGGAGCAGCTTCTACTTATTCTGCATTCCATACTCTCCCGGGGGATCACACAAGCCTGTGTTCATTAATTCAAGTAATTTGGGGCAGGTGTAGGCATTTGAGACGCGCAGGTGCTGCAGGGATGCCATTGGGACGTCTGAGGAAGGAGCATGGAACGGAGGATTGGTAGGGTTGGGGCTCAGGGCAGATGGGACAGCCTGTGGGAAGGCCTGGGAGACACCTTGAAGAAAGCGGGTGTGGCTAGGCACAGGCCAGCTGTCCAGACCTGCTAAGCAAGACCCAATAGAGTGTGGATGGTGTTAGACCAGGGGTCAGCAAACCCGTCTGTAAAGGGCTTGCTAGTTTAGGCTTGGTGAGTCACTTAGTCTCGTGCAACATCATTTTGACCCTGTGGGCTGTACAAAAACAGGTTGTCGTTTGCTAACCCCTGGTGTAGACTCCAGTAAGGGTTGAGGCGGGGTGGAGCCCTGGAAAGGGGGCAGGAAGATCTGACAATCGGATGTTTACAAAGGTGGGAGGTGCACACGATGCACTGGTTCACAGGGTTGGAGCTGAGGTCAGACTGCGCCGGTTTGAATCCTACCTCTGCCGCTTGCTGGCGTGAGACTTGAATCCTCCAAATCTCCGGACCTCCATCTGTACGATGGGGGCCACACAGAAGCCAGAGTTCAGAACTGTGATCAGTGAGGGAATGAAAGTAAAACATATTTACCCTGAACACTGCCCAGCAGTTTAAGCGGCAGCTGTTTTTATAGACCACGGTCTCTTATCCAAAAACTCTTGGGGCTAGGGACATTGCAGTGATAAGGAATTTTTCCTGTTTTAGGAAAGCAATACGGTATAAATGTCACATTACATCAAGGGATGTCAGGGGTAGCACCCTTTAATCAAGTAAGTCAGGTGGAGGTGTATACCAAATATCCACCCCAGCTCTGCCGATGTTGCGGCTGGGTCACTGGGGGGGGTGTCTCGGGCCCTAGAGGGTGTTGAACAGTATCCCCGTCCGCCTACCCTGCACTTGACGCAGTAGTATCGCTCTGCAGTTGGGACAAGCACAAACGCCCTCAGAGATCATCCAGTGTCTCCCGGGGCGCAGAATCTTGTGCTTTAAAGGATCAGTCACCCTGTGCACCCCCACAAAGCCCTTGGGCCTTGCCTGCCTGCGCGGGGAAACCGTGCTTCTGTCCTTGCCCTCCAACCCCTGGTTAGTCTAACCCTGCTTCTGTCCTTGAGCAGACACACTCAGTGTGGGGCTCTGTCTTCTCTGTTCAGCCTGTGCAGGAGATGCCCTGGACACAGCGGCCCCGTGCTCCGTGGTGAACTACCTAAGATGGGACCTGAGCGCCCAGCAAATAGGGGAGCTCACTGTGGAGCTCATTGAGCAAACTAAGCGTGTATATGACCAGGTGGGCTCCCAGAAGTTTGAAGACGTGTCCTATGAGAGTACCCTCAAGGCGCTGGCTGATGTGGAGGTGTCCTACACAGGTAAATCCGGGTCAGGATCCAGGCAGGGAGGCAGAAGCAGCTCAGGCCTTGGAGCTCCTGGACCCTGGCCATGGGTGAGGCCTCCTCCTCCCCAGGCGGATGGTGATGGATATAGGAGCTGCCTGGGGGTAAAGGCATCTGCTGGGCAAGAGGCAGCCCGGAGGGCCGCTGGTTCCCCTGCATGCCCTGCTGCACAGCCTGGCATACTTAGTTCTCATGGGCTGCGTCATCTGAGGGTCCAGAGC